AACAAATTCCATCTGCTTAATGAAGCTGGGACATAAACTGTGTCATGTTGCGCTTACTCCCCGTCACAATCGGCCGAGCAAACTCAACAAAGTCATCTATGAGGACAGGCCATGCTCCTGTGGAGAGGGGGTGAAATATTAGTTACACCTAAATGAAATGTAATGCATTGACTTAATTCATCAATAAACAGTAGTGTCCACACGCCAAATCATTCACAGATGCACTGCTGGCCTGAAGTCGTACAAGGACATCAGGAGGGGGGGAGATGCAGTGAAAACAAATAGTGTTATTTTCTTCATTTGTATAAATTTGTCATCTAGCAAATAATATATTATGATCAAATTGGTTATCATACTTTGCAGTATTTTTAAAAATCCAAACAAATCCAACTAAAACTGTAAAATCTATCTTATTTCAAAAATACAATTTTCATATTGAGGGCCATGGATGAATATAGAAGGTTGAGCAAAGTATTTTATTTAAAGTGTTTAATAATAGTTATTTAGTCAGAAAGATGTGATGATGCAGTTAAATCCAGCTGAATGAGTGAATCTGATAGCAATTTTACATATTCATGGATCAAAATGAATGCATATTTTAAGACCTTACTCTGACCGGGTGAATCAGTTTAATACATTTATATGACATTTGCCATCATATGACTTAAACAGGGTTACGCTGAATTATCAGCATGTCTTTTAATGTGACCACAGATCTGCTTATAGACTGCATCATTGATTGTCTTAAATAAAATAAGCTCACCTTCCTCGTCATAGTTGGACATGTCATCTGCAATCATATTGCCAAAGTCCAGGAGGAGGTTCCACGTGTCCCTGGAAATAGATCGCTTGTGATGCTCCTAAATGCAGCACAGTAACAGGTGAAGTGTAACATTATGGAGTAATCAGAAGACTAAAAAATGTGGTACATTGCAAATAAGTTCAATTCAGTCCATATTATCATCATCAGAGAGGTGTTGAACTCTGGTAATTTTTGGGGATGACATTTGTGGATTGTGCGAAAACTGTATGGTGTTTCTAATATTTTTCATATATGTAAACAAAGTAAACCAAACATTCTAAAAATGCCATGAAATGTAAAATATTTTCACACTCACCAGCAGAAAGTGGTTCCAGAGATCCAAGAACTTGAAGTGACCTGTGAGAACTAGATTCCAATAAGCCACAGCCATCTCTAGGTCTAGGGTAGAAAATAAAGAATTTTCAAGATTTATTTTATATTGAATGTTGGATTGAATTATCTTGTATTTTTGAGGTGAACATATGAAAACACCAGGATATCTTTTGGTGATGCGTGCTCTGTTCTTAGGCTTACCTAAACCCTTCTGTCCTGGGTTCTTGGCAAAATTGAAGGTAAACTGGTAAAAGTCTTTGAACTTTCCTGTGTCTTTAAGCTCCTGCTCTAGTCTGGGGAGGATCACCTTGAGTTTTTCAGGACTGTCACAGCTGGTGGAGACATTGAACACAAACAGACAACAAATCAGACTTCCAGAATCCTTTTAATGGCTGTAATGGTGAATGGCACATATAAAATTACCCAAACACAAAATCTCAAGTTTCTGACTGTGTAGGTTTCTGTAACAACACATTTTAAATTCATGTATGAGTCACATTTAAAAGAAAATGCTGTTTAAATTTCAAAATACTTTGCTCATAGAAACAAATAACATGGCTATACACAAAATTTTTAAGCTTATCATTTCATGTACATACTTTAATAAATTTTTTACTCATCATTACTCTTTGTACAATAAAGTCAGATGGACTTATTTGCTGACAAGATGTCTCCTATGTATGCACTAACCTTTAGGTCCCATGTGCCTTTTAAATGGAATTAACTGCAATGTTCCCTTAAGTTTGATTCCTTAATTAATACTAGCAATTTTAAAGCATTATTATTTGATATTTTTATGATTTGTGTACTGATTTGCACTATTTTTGTGTGCCTGGGTATTTCTCTGTTTTGGTTGCTGGTTGTGTTTTATGAACGTCTGTGAATATGTGTTGTGTTTTAGGAATCACATTTATATCTGAATAAATAAAGTTTAACAAATAAATAATAAATATATTTTCATGTAAGTGTTGCTCACCCTAGCTCAGCCATGCCATCTAGGAACTCTTTTCTGCTGAACTCGCATTGAGTGGCCGCTCTGAACTTCCATGCCACCACAAGTATGCTCATGCTAGCTGGGTCCAGGGTCAGGTCATCACAGAACTGCTGGATCCCATCAATCCCTATCTTATTTTCATCCTGGGGGTCTGCAAAGACAACTGAGAAGAATAAGCAAAATTGTGCCAAATTATAAGAGAAGAGACAAAAGGACTGTGCTGATCATAAACATATGATTTTCAAAACTTTATCCTAAGATTACTTTTGAAGCACTTGCCTTTGTATCTGTTGTAGAGCTGTTCCAGCTTCTTGCGGTCCACTGAGGTTTTCATGGATTCTTTATAATAGAAATCTGGGTTCTGGAAGTAGTTGTCTGTGGCAACTTCTAGTTTCCAGTCATTATGCATCAAGCAGTACAGAGCTGTCCTCTCCCCTGCCTGTGTGAAGGACATGAACTGCCGTACCTTGTCCTTCTGAGATGACTTCAACTTGTGCTGTAAAGCAAGCAGGCACCCGAGTAAGTACAGGACTAAAATAACATGTTAGGACTGTGGACCACCAATCAGCCCCCTCACACACACATTCCACCAAACCCATTTGACCAGAATCTGACCGATACTGGTATATTCTGGGAAGCTAAGGCTGCACATCAACATTTACACACATTACACAGCCTAAACTTCCTCAGTATTTGAGAATGCAAGGATTTGATGTTCTTTAAACTCTCTTGGTTGGAACCCATATATTATGACCTGTACGCCTACAAACAATTAAATAACTATCATACTATGCATCCAACAGCCTATTTATTTGTATAAGTGTATTAGGAGACAAAGCCACTTCCAAATGCACCACTACAAGATTCTGTAAACTTCTTGTGTTAATTAAATCTAAAGTATTGCACGTCTTTCCAGAACTGCAGACATGGCTTTCCCGGTGATCAAACAGCAATGACGGTGACTGGCCGGTGTTTAACGACCCAGTTTTCCTGGGAAAAGGGGCGTTAGATGAGCAGCCCACACCCCGACCCGGGGCAACCAGCGAGCTAACGTTACCTAAAAGGGCAAGGTACGTGCTGCAAGTGCGGGTGTCCGATCGCAATATCACCAACAACTGACTTTCCAGTTCCCTTGTATTCCCGACACACATCATCCTGATAATGCGACACTTGCTGAGGACAACACGATCCCCTTATTTGTTATGTCCCCTAAGCGTTAATGGCAGCTGTTATCTGGCTTTGGGCTTATTTAACAGGACTAAATAGCTGTCCCTGTGTTTTATTTTTAATTTTACCTACCATTTTATCACCCGCTGTTTACCCTACTTGGATATCACATTACCCGTTGTACGCATGCGCAAAAAGAACTGCACTGATTTGAGGATACTCTAATTATGGGACATGTAGTTTTGTGGCGCTGATCCCACGAGATCTGTGTTGGATATACTTAGCTTAACAACTTTCTGCGTTAACTGACAACTGCTTCAACAAAATGCTTAACTTTATTGATTACTCTGCCTCCCACTTAATTGGGAAAGTACACCCGTGCTTCGTTTCAACATACTTTAATTTTTAGTCTACCTCTTAGAGCAAGAACAGTCGATAAAAACTCAGCCTTAAACTAGTGTAAACTCAGAAGTTAAAAAACGATACAGTGTTAAATAACTTGTTTAGATGTGACAAAGTAAAAATGTATCCAAGAACAACTGTCACAATTTAAACGCCCTTGACACAAATGAGCGGAAAACATAACATCTGAAAACTACAACTCCCATATCAAATCTGAAAGATGTTTCGGAAGTAATCTTAACTTGGGTCGAAATTGTATTTTAACGAGATAACATTCGGAAAACAACAAATTATTCTGTTTTAGCTGCGGTTTATGTTAATGTTTCATTATGACATGTCTTCATGAGGTCTTTCGAGATCTACCTGGAATATAGCTATTTCTACCGTTAGCACAGCTGTGCTAGCGTTAACGTTGAGTCATGGGAGTGTGTGGACAGCTGGCTGGATCTGGTCTGACAGCTGCCAGGAATTTTATGGCTATCTTAGGTTTACCTACAGCTCCAGGCGAGAAAACTGGTTGAAGTTTAACGTTATACAATCTCAAACCGTTCCAGTTTCAATACGCTTTTATCCAACAGCAGTCGTACAGACATCCTACCTGGACGAAATAACGCTAGTCTACCCTCTTCAGCTAGCACGGGCCATGCGACCGACGCTTGGCAGTGGAAGTAAACATGAAGTTATTCACCAAGTGACTCGGTGAACGCCTGCAACGAGGCTATGTGGCAGGGAAGGAGGGGTGCCGGTGCTGGTGGTGCGGCACAACAACATGATTGTTCCCGTCTTCTTCTGCTTCTCCTTCGAGCGTGGAGTGGAGCCGAGAACCAGGGCAGTGCACACATTTCGCAGGTAGTTGCAGCCCTTTTAAAAACAACCTGTTTTCATTGATATGCTCGGTGAAACGAATGGAATAATGCGTGATTTCGACATTGAACAAATGAATGATTCCACCGATGATGGTGGTGTTTCCTGGTGTGTCTGAAACAGATACGTCTGTCTGTGTTAAGCTTTGTATGATGTTACTCTTGGTTGTCATGATTTTTATACTTCCTTGTATGCACGGTGTTTTCCTACATTAGAATGATATTCATGGTATTCGGCTGTTTGTATTTATTATGTAAATGTGTACACGCATCTGTCGGTACCGAGCGTAGATAAGTGCAGAGCAGTGGTGGAATACATATCTAAAAGTTCAGTTAACGGCAGTGAATATAGTACAAAATGCAGTTTTGAGCTTTTGTACTTTTCAATTTCTCCCAGCCAGAAGGTTGAAGGTTCGAATCTAGGTGCCTGTAGTCCACATGTCGAAGTGTCCCTGGGCAAGACACTGACCACCACTAGTTCAGGCGGTTGTCTGTTTAAAGGTGAAGACAAATCAATTAAAAGGAGAGTTTATAGTGGATGTAGAGTTTTTGTTTAGTTTAATTATGTCTTCCCTCTAATCTAAAAGGTTGAATTATGTTTTTAAGATCCCTTAAAATTAGAAGGAAACACAATAATGTATATGGGTGTGTGTTTACACATTCACATTGTGGAGACTCCCTTTCATTGTGGACTTTTAGAGTGACAACTTGGTTTAAGGTTATGAATATGTGTCTATGTAAAGCCCATATGAGGAATGAAAATGAATGTGTGTGTCTGTCAGTGTGTGTGTGTGTCTGTGTCTGTGTCTGTGCTTGCATGCTTGTTCCTTTCAGCGGCCAAGCAATGAACAGTGGTGCTATTGATTTCTAGCAACAGTAGTAGAGTGGCAGCAGCCCAATCATAGAAAGAAGGACAGAACAGGAGTTTGGAAAGTAAACTTTAGTCAACTTGACTTGTGCTTACAGTGGTGCAGGCCAGCTTTTATGTGATTTAAATGCTTCCAACCATTAAGTTGCGGTAGTAAACGCTTTCTGTGCAAAGCAAGAGGAGATGGCATATGTTAACAGTAAAGCAGTTTCTTAAACTGCCACTGTTCTTAGGCCTCTGTATTCCAAGTGTAGATATAAATGCGCCATGGCATTAGGTGTAGGCAGAACATGTGACATGCATAGTTAAGTGCACTTACTATTAGCCACACACACCTGCCAGCAGAGCAGGCTACAGCTTTTGTTTGAGCTATTCAGCTATGATCACACCCATCCTGAAGATTAAATCCTGTTTGGGGATAGAGCAACAAAGCAAAAGCACAGAATGGGCTACATAAAAAGAAATTATCAGCAAAAACATTATAGGACAGTACTGCCACTATCTGTGCTTTAAAGGGTTAGTCTGACAATTCCTGTATTTCTATAATGTTGTTGTTATCAACAAAACTCCATGAAAACACCAGAACAAACAATGTGTCTTAATACTTCCTCTTTCTGTCGTAACACTATGCCCATTTGTTTCTAGTAGAGACAGGCCTTTGAACACTAGCTGCAAATATAAATTTTTGTTTATAAAAAGACTAAATACATTTCTGTAACAACTGAGCATTGATAATTATATTTGGACAACAGTGGAGATGTATGGCACCACAAATAAGCTACATTATGTTTTGGATACACAGTCAGTGTTTGTTAGTTGGGCTGGACCCAATTATTCGACTATTCAGATATTTGTTCTTTGGGTAGGTAATTGGTTTTCAATTTTGGTATTCGAATATTCGAGGCATAAGGAAATTTCAATGCAGTTTTAGTTCAGTAATGAAGATGAAAGAGAACACAGTGGAGACAGCTCGATCTGCTAGCTGGTATAAACATCTATGAAAATGTTGGCGCAAATCTCCAAATACTATATGCCTACACATTTCTCAGACAGATGAGATATTCTAAATGTAACTGGTTACTTCCTTACCTGGAAAAAAAATCAAAACTAAACCTAATAATGTAACATAAAACCAATCTTAGAATCAAATATTCACAGATTCAGAGTTCCTAGATCAATAAATCAATAAAGTGAAACCTTGGTAAAACACAAATGATGCCTCTTTACTATAGTGAGGTAGATGGACAGTAAGAGAGAAATTAATTTTAATCAAAATGAGCCGTCTTGATGACATAGCGTTACGTGCAGCCAGCTGTGAATCAGATGCTCAGGGACCATCTACAAGGTGCAACACCAAAAAGAGGTACTACAAAAATATTCAATCGCTTCTCACTTGGACACATTTTTCAAAACTACGTATTGTGATATAACCAACAGGAGACCAATGATGTGTGAAGGGATTATGGTGACACTATCCTAAGAGTAAATATTTTTGTAGTATCTCATTTAGGTTTACACTTTGTAGACAGTCCCTGTACACTCTTCTTACACATTGTTGTGGGTATATCTAATGAAGCCCCGAGGAACATAATGTAAAAATACCCTGTGTCTGAATGTCAGAATGCCATCTTTTTAACACACTGATGAAGCAGCAATGTTACGTATCTCATGTCTGAAAACAGATTATTACTACTGAAGCTCCAAATCCCCAAAAATGCCATTCAGGACAGCCCTACTTGTTAGTAGGATCAATGAGTTGTTGGTTTGGTCTTTTTATGCAAGTTGTGGACAACAAGAAAAGCATAAGATATTACCTGACTTATTCCTTAAGCTTGTGTACTTTTTTGTTTTTCTTTCTAACAACCATGCTCTTCCTGCTATAATCTGTCTGTGTTCTTCCCAGGTGTCTTTCTCTTGATCAATCTCCCCATACTGGTGAAGACAGAAGCAAAAGTTTGGATGCAGGTTGTATGTTGGCTACTGTGCCTTGGCCTGGCAGGGACACTTGCTGTTCTGAAGAAGGACCAGGTGGCCCAGCATGTCATCACGCTTTATCAGAGCAAGGGGACCATACATGGCCGCAGCTGGGTGGCCCGTAACTGTAAGCAACTGGTGGGTCTCCTGCATCAGAAGAATGCGGTTATCAAAAAGCTGGCAGCTGCTGCAGATGCTGTTAGAAGAGCGCAGACCCTTTCGGAACCTGAGAAGCACTTCCAGGTACTAGACTGAGAAGAAATGCCAGATGGAGCCTTCTATTTGTATCAGGAGTTTGTGATTTGTTAGAACCTGTTTAGCTATATATTTATGGCCCATCACCCTGGTACAGTACATTGTGTCTGATACATAAGGTTTGCAACTCTTTAGGGTGGTAGGATTCTGTTAGCACAATAACTCAAATACAAGTTCATATGACAGAAAACTGTGAAAAATGCTTGTTATACCTTTCTGATGTCTTCAGATTGTTTGTTGTAATAAAAGATATAAAATTTACAATTATATAAAAGCAGTGCATTGGAGAAGCCACAAAAATATTTGGTATTTTTGCAATATTGGGGTTAAGGGGTTTCTTGTTAAATCGCTTTGAGACATTTCAAGACAGATCAAGCTAATTATTATTATGGTGCGTCTTCCCATTTTAACCTATGTTATTCAGCTTTATTTCACAGTATTTACTAATTTCAGTATCTTATGAAGGCATGTAAACTGCTCTTTTGCAGTATTCCAAAATGAAGACCATAGACTGGGGCAGATATTTTACAGCTTAGGGACAGACTGATATCTTTTTGTCTGGGATCAGGTTCACACTCTGGAGGTTTTCCAGAAGGAGCTGAATGAGAGCGAGCACCTGGTGTTCCAGGCAGTGCACAGCCTGCAGAGGGCACTGCAGGGAGACTACAGGGACGTGGTGAACATAAAGGAGACCAGCAGACAGAGGCTGGAGGCCCTGAGGGAGGCAGCCATAAAGGTGAGGTCAAAGTGGTCAAGAGAGACCTCTGCCAAGGTGGAGGTAATGTTTTTACCAGCATTTGTTGTGGTGGTGGGGTTTTGTTTTTGTTAGTTTGTTCACAGCAAAAAGTAATGAATGGTTTTATAATGAAATTGTTTGCAGAGGTAGGGTATGACCCATGGAGCTATCCATTAGATTTTGGTGGTGATCAGGGTTCTCATCATCCGGATCCAGGAATTTTTCAAAGGAATCTTCACTACTGGGCGATAGTCTCAATATTTTTGCTTAGAACTCCATTCACAGTGCCTACAATGCTTGGACAAAATTTTCACATAACATCCACATAAGCTGTACCACACACCAAAGTATGATCTGGATCCAAGTAATATTCCAGAAAGTTCACATTTATAGGACTCATGTGAAATTCACCTCTGTGAAACAACAAATAATGCTACAGACTTGCAACTAACACCAAATTCTGTCTGAATCACTACTGATTCAGTAGGATGTCAACAGATTTGCTGTTTATTCAAGTTAGTGACTGAGATCCAGAAGAAAACCACCATTCCTGAAATACTGTTTTTCTTGAATAACTTTCAAACTAATAGTGATATTGAAGTGATTCCAAATGCTAGGGCAGGTTTTCATGGTCAAGGAATCATGTTATGAGAGTCAAATTATCATGGGAATATTGGTGAAATTTTAAGTGTAACGGCATTATGGGGACATTGGCCTGTCACTCAGAGGTTCAGGCTCTCTGAGTGCTGTCTAGTTCATATTTTTGTGTATAAAATTTCAAAAAATTGAAAGTTGCCCATTACATGTTCTGCAAACCCAGAGTATTTTTCTGTGCAACAGTCTAAAACTGATAGATATTCTATTTAAAATGATATATAAAAGCAGCAAATCTTCACATTTGCAGCCAGAAACAATGTAATTTCTGTTTGATTGCTCACTAGGTTTTAACTAATCAAATAATTGAATCATGATTTTAGCTCTAGCTCTCTCTCTCTCTCTCTAAAATGTTGTTGCCCAGTTGAATGACTTTGAGCAAATCATGTATAACTGTACTGAAAGGTTGATACCCAAACCGAACACAATGGGACCTGTTGGTGCCCGAGGGCTGAGTTGGTTTTGGACAGAAATTAAGAAATCATGTTTGGGTTTGGGTAGTATTCGGTCACATAGGTCAAACTTTAGGTCGAATCCCGTGAGAGTATTTGGTGTATGTTTCCTCGGTATTGCTGCCACATGCATCTCTATTAGCATGTCTCTATACCTTCTTGCTAATACACACTAGAAGCACCATCCTTCACCTACATACACTACACCTTTTCCAATACCCACCTATACCGTCTTGCTAATATACACCTGTTTGTTGGGCTATGTTCTCACCCTTCAGGAAGAACAGGAGTATGTGGAGCTGGTGGCTGCTGAGAAGCACCAGCAGGAAGCTCTTAAGAGTGCTTTAGCCCAGAACAAGACTCTGTCCATACTAGATGAAATACTGGAGGATGTCAGGAAGGCAGCAGACCGGCTGGAAGAGGAGATCGAGGAGCATGTCTTTGACAACAACAAACAGGTAGGCATAACGCCACAAAATGTTGATTAATTTGGAATTGGTCCCTAATGTATATTTAGAAGTTTAGCCTTTATGCAACACACAAAATAACTGTACATCCAAGTCCAGCCATAAGACATTTTAAGAATGTAGGTACACAAAGTTGGTCAACAACATGCAGATTGCCTCATTTCATACTCACTGTTGTGTAGATGAAAGGAGTAAATGTAGAGGCAGTGTTGAGAGTGGAGGAAGATGAGGAGAATGGAGGGAAGAGGAAGAACAAGTCCAAGCAGAAAGAAGTGGAGGATGACCTGGGGCTGAGCATGCTAATTGACTCGCAGAACAACCAGTATGTTCTGACTAAACCACGAGACTCAACAATACCAAGAGCAGATCATCACTTCATTAAGGTCAGCCATTTGTCCCGCTGATTTATGGTCTTGTTTGATCTAGGATAGATAAGAAGTGAAATCTTTGATAATACTTAGAGTAAGGCAAGCTCCATAAACCTTCCTTAATTTTTCTTGCTGTATGTACGTGCAGGACTTGGTGTCACTTGTGATGTTGTCCCTACCTTGCGGGTGGATGTGTACTCTGGTCAGTCTTCCTCCAATGTTTGGATATATCATCTGTGGGGTGCTGCTTGGTCCTTCTGGCCTCAACAGCATCAAGGTGTGTTTATGTGTGTGGGTGTGTGCGTGCACATGTAACGTCAGCATGTCGGATCAGACTTAAACAACAAAACCAGTTTTAACTAGGCAGCACTCAGCTAGTGCAAACTCTGCCAAGGGCAACTATCTTTCCCCATAATGGCATAAAAGCAATATTCCCATGATAGTTGAATTTAGTGCTAGTTGCTCATGTCAGTGTCTGTCTCTGTGTGTTGCAGTCTATGGTCCAGGTGGAGACTCTGGGGGAGTTCGGTGTATTCTTCACTCTCTTTGTAGTGGGATTAGAGTTCTCTCCTGAACGCCTTCAAAAGGTAAATAAAAGGAATTTTAATTCAGGGTTAAAATTGTACAATAATGCACCTTTTCATCATTGGAAGTCAGTGCAGGAGTTTAAATAACAACTTAGCAGCTCTCACTAGTGTCATGCTTTATGGGTACATCAACTGAAATGACCTCAGGCTAAATATTAGTGGCATATAGTATAAAGAGTAAGACCCTGCAAAATCCGCAAGAGCATTGACGGTGTTAACTGCATGTTAGAAAGTTGATCACATGCCCACAAAAACACAAAACTACTATATATGACACAATATGAACACAAATTAAGTCTTGTCATTGTGTCATTTTATTTTTCAAGTGCGGAGGTTTTGCCCCTAGACAGGAGGTGTGGGGGGGCTTTTACATGTTGGTACCCAGGGGTTGATTGTCTGATAATCCCGCCATGAGTTATGGTTGCATAGTGATTGTAATCTTTACTTGGTGACACAAACCTTTTTAAGCAAATGAATGATACACAAATGATGACTATAAAGTGGCTTGACTCTTGATTCTTTTCAGACTAATGGTAACATGACTGTGTGTGTAGGTATGGAAGACATCAGTTCAGGGGTCGTGCTACCTGAGTCTACTGATGGTGGGGGCCGGTTTGTTGTGGGGACACATCCTGCATATTCGGCCCACGCAGACTGTCTTCATTTCCACTTGTCTCTCCCTTTCCAGCACTCCTCTAGTGTCCCGCTTCCTAGCAGGAGGAAGCAGGGGGGACAAGGAAGGTATGTTAGTGTGTCTGTCTGTACACATTAAGAGACAAGAGGCAAAGTCCTAGTCAGTACAACCCAAGACAAAACACAGTACCTTTAGTAGCATTTAGCTATGCATATAGTTTTGTTTATTCTATATTTTATATTTATTCTTTTATGATATCTAACTTTAGCCTCTTCCCAGTACAATTGAGATAAGTAGAATTTTGCTTGTGGTGCTCATATAAGACATACTGGTAATATCAGTATTACTCTGGGTAATCCTCACAGCACAGTGTTTTGTGTTCTTCAGTAATTCTAAAATTTAGTTCACCTCCACTTCACCTACTGTGGTGAAGATAGATATTATATTGCATATACCTTGGCAAATACAAATGGTAATCTACAAAGTAACTATAGCAGTAATGATAGCTATCAGACAAATGTAGTAGAGTAAAAAGTACAGTATTTCCCTGTGAGATGTAGTGGAGTAGAAGTATAAAGCTGCATAAAATGTAAGTACTAAAGTAAAGTACAAGTATGTCAAATTACAGTACTTAAGGAGATACACATATTTGTACTTTCCACCACTGACCCTTTCCATAAAAGAGCATTTGAGACTAGTAAAATCCAGTACTCTGCTGCACTGTAACTACATTACTCTGACATATAGAAATATAAATACTCTTTTCAGACTAAAGATAACATGACTCTGTGTGTACGTGTGTGACAGGTGAGCTAGACTACAGCAGTGTTCTTCTTGGGATGTTAGTGATGCAAGATGTTCAGCTTGGCCTCTTCATTGCTGTCATGCCAACTCTGATCCAGGCACAAAGTGGAGATTTGGACAAGTCAGTTAGTATTTTTGTTTTTGAGTGTGCCTTTTCCCCTCAAAACAGACACACACACACACACACACAGAAAGCTTTGCAAGTCAGTGTTTTTCTCTATGCCCCTCAGCTTCCTGTTTGGAAGTGTCCGCGTACTGTTTCTCCTGGCTCAGGTCCTGGTGTCTCTGGCTGTTGTGCTGCTGTTGTGTTTGTTATTCAAATTGCTCCTGATCGGCCCCTATTACAAGAAACTCTATGCTGAGAGCAAAGGCAACAAGGAGATCCTGGTGCTGGGGACGGCAGCTTATGTCTTTTTCATGTTGATGGTATGCATTTTGCTTTTTTTAATTGGATGCTTTCCTGTCTTTTTTTTTTTTTTTTACATTTTTTTCCATTTCTTTACAATTATGTGAGTGCAATATTATTTAACCTCTTGTGGTGAAGCTGTTTGTGTTGCCTTTGCTCTTCCTGACTGGTTCTCTAGCTAACCGAGTTTCTGGATGTTTCTATGGAGCTGGGCTGTTTCTTGGCTGGAGCATTGCTCTCCACACAGGGTCACCTGGTTACCACAGAGGTCAAGGGATGCATCGAGCCAATCAGAGATTTCCTCGCTATCATCTTCTTCGCCTCTATCGGTCAGATCCATCATAACAATTTATGACGGGCCTTTTGTACCATTTACTTTGAGACTTCGCTCAATCATCTTATGTGTTTGTGTGATGCTGCAGGTTTCCATGTGTTCCCAACATTTGTGCTCTATGAACTCACCATTCTGCTGGTGCTGACACTCACACTCGTCATTATGAAGGTACCAGACTTTTCTTTATCTTTTGCTCGTTTCCTTCCACAGTTCACCTCTATTATGCTCTCAGTCCTTCCCCTTTTCCTTCTAGTTTCTAATGGCCGTGCTGGTGCTGTCGGCGATCTTGCCTCCAGGCTCTCAGCACATACGTTGTATTGTCGCAGCTGGCCTCGCGCAGGTCAGCGAATTCTCTTTTGTTTTGGGCAGCCGTGCACGCCGAGCTGGCATCATCTCCAGAGAGGTAAGTGATGACTTGTTAATTTATGTTTAGTTATGTCATCATATATTTTATTTTATCATTATTAGTTTATATGATCATAAAAGGTTTGATTATTATAAATGCTGCTTGTGACCAGGAAATAACACATTAACCTAAATGTGAAGAGATCATGGAATCCATAAAAATATTTGCAGCATGAAATGATATAAAACAACAACAATGTTCCGCTATAGTGCAGTAATTTACTTTGCATGTGGTGTTAAAATGAAAGATGGTCCTGAGTTGTAAGATTTACTGTATTTACAATCAAAAAAAGTAAAATCTAAGCAATACAGGAAAACTTTAGTTAAGCTAAAAACAGTTAAGTATTGTTCTTTTTTTAAGTAAAAGTATAGTAGAAACTGAATATTAATATAGTTATATCCTCCTAGTATACTGTACTTTTTTGGAAAATCAGTGCTGAGATGAAATTATGAATTAGTTTTTGGCAGTTGTTGCAGAATAGAGATCCACCTGTGGAACCAAAAAAACAATGCTGAATTTTCAAAATGTAATTTTTCAGCATTGTGAACTGAGAAGACGTGTCTATCAGACTCAGAGCTAATGAAACCAGCTATCTGGCAAGATATCACTTTTAATTTGGACGTATTAATCCTTTGAACTATTCTTTTTTTTATGTGTAACTATATAGGCCACATATCTTTTTGCTCAGGTGTACCTGCTGGTTCTCAGTGTCACCACGCTCAGTTTGCTGCTGGCTCCGTTGCTGTGGAGAGTTACCACACAGAGATGGGCTCCCCGGGTCGAGCACAAAACAGTCACATGACCAGACTGACTTCTGGGTTAGGAGGCTTCCATGTATAGTAGCTTCTACAAATTTAGTAGCAACATAATGAGAAGTAGAAGTTAAGTCTGTTTTGGCTGTTCAGAAAGTGTTAGCACACACACAACAGTATAATGTGGTCTGCTGGACTTCTGTTTAACAGCACGAAAATCACCATCAGCTACATTTTGACTTTCATGATTGTTATAAAGACCCTCTGCTACTGTTTGTGTCTGTGTATGGACCTGGACCAGTGTGACATATAGGTACTGTAGATACCCTATACTGTATGGGGACTTATTTGTTAATGCATAATGAAACAGTTTTAAATTACACTATCGCTGAACCCCTTCACTCTTTGATCAACACTCTTAAAGTCACAACAGTATCCTTCCATCCATCCATCCATTTTCCTCCGCTTATCCGGGACCGGGTCGCGGGGGCAGCAGTCTAAGCAAAGATGCCCAGACTTCCCTCTCTCCAG